TTAAATGGATGCATTGTATTATTCATCGTGAAGCACGAGCTAGCAAGAGGATGAGCCCTGATTTAAGTGCTGTTATGGATGATGCTGTGAAGATGATACATTTCATCCAATCTCGGCCATTGAATCACAGGCTGTTTGAAACTCTTTGTCATGAGAACGGCACAGAGCACGATCAGCTATTGCTTCACACAGACGTGCGCTGGCTGTCTCGTGGGAAAACGCTACTGAGACTTTATGAACTTCGCAATGAAGTTTTTGTGTTCTTGACGGAGCATCTGCATCCTCTTTCTGTGCAGCTTGAGGATGACAAGTGGGTGGCACGCCTGGCATATCTTGCTGATGTGTTTACCAAACTCAACGAGCTCAACCTATCCTCAACCTATCACTTCAGGGCAAGGAGTCACATATCCTGAAATGGTATGACAAAGTTCAAGGATTCACAAAAAAGCTCAAACTATGGGAGAGTAAATGTGATGAGGGAGACGTGAGCTGTTTCCCACTACTCAATGCCCATCTTGCCACCACTGCTGTTGCCAGGGGTCCAGTGGTCAAACTGGTGCAAGCACACCTGTCCAAACTCTGCACTGATTTCAGCCATTATTTTCAGGACATTGAAAATAAGTCAGAAAGACTGGATTGGGTGAGGAACCCATTCATTGTGAGTGAGAGCAGCAACAGCCTTCCAGCAATGCTGCAGGAGCCTCTGATGGAATTATCATCTGACCACGGTGGTCTGAAGATGGCATATGCTGAGAAGTCATTGACTGAGTTTTGGTGTGATGGAGAAGGAATATCCTGAACTGGGAAAACATGCACTGATTGAACTTTTGCTGTTTGGTTCTACTTATTTGTGTGAGGTGACCTTCTCAGCTTTAACACACATCAAAACCAAGCAGAGGAACAGACTGGATGTGGAGACCAGCCTGGTCACAGCTGTTTCCACACTGCCTCCAGAACTATCAAAGCTTATGAAAGACAAGCAAGCTCAAGTGTCTCATTAAAGCTCACATGACTGGTGAAAATAAACTGCTAGGCCTATACTGATTCTGGATATTATTTTGCTAAGTGTTTTGTTCCTGAATTAAAGTTTAAATGCCTGTTTAAAGGGGACTTATTCAAAGGGGCTCCATGGTTTAAGCCTAAATGTTACAAGATATATATAGCAAAGATAAGTTGATTATTTTGATTTCATATGTATTTATTTGATTATATTATTTATTTTCAAGGCAACATATTCATTTTTATTTATTTTTATTGAGTGATTTAAGTTAAAATTAAGAAAATGCGTGAGAATTAGATGTTCAAATTAAGGAGATGAAATAAAGTTATTTTCATTCAATAATCAGTTACGTTCTACTTGTGAAGGATCATCAGCACGTATGAGTGAGGGGGTACTCATGGTATGACAAAAGGCTCAGGGGGTACACAAGACAAAAAAGGTTGGGAACCACTGCTCTAGATGATAGGAAAGTAGGTTTCAAACTTCCTTTATAACCTCCTTTAGCTTAGGAACCACTGGACCTCCCTTGACGAAAGGAAAGGAGAAAATGCTGCCCCACAATGTCTTGCAGCCGCGGCATTTGCCGTCACTCAACAGTCGGCCGTTCACGGAAACAACCGATTATGACCGAGAAATTATATCATGAAAGTTACGGTGCTTATTAAGTAGGGATGCTCCAATCGATCGGTCACCGATCGATATCGGCCGATACTCACTCTCTACCGATCGATCGGTGCTCTCTAAACATGCCGATCGCGAGAGCCGATCGCATGACGTAAAATACATGACACTTTTCTCCGTGTGCGGCAAAACAAGCTCGCCAAAATGGCTTCACCGGTCTGGCATTATTTTAAGGTGTCCGAAAAAGACAGTAAAGTAGCGGTATGCAACGTGTGTGAAGCAGAAATCCTGCAGCTCCGCCCGCCGGACCGGTAAGCGCAGCGAAACACACACACAGGGAGAACCAGACCGCAGTTCATTTCCTCATATTCCAAACGAGAAATTACGGTAGCAAATTACCCGGTTCTTTACGACCAGAACTATTAACGGGATACAAACCGGAGGAACCAGGCATGGAGGGAGGTGGCAGAGACAGTGGGTGGAACTGGTAGGTTTTCGCCTGTTTGGGGAGTTTATATATATATATATATATATATATATATATATTGCTCGCATAAAATCCCCGGGGTTTTTTGCTTTGTATGTCGGGGGCGGGAGATTCATGTGATTGGTTGTTGGTCGCGTTGCTCGCAAAAAATCCCCAAGCTTTCAGACACGCCCAGCTCCAAGATTTTCAAGATTTTTGAAAAGCTGCTGTGTGGACGTACCGTAACGGCCCCTACACACGGCGGCGTGCGTTACCGCTTGGCGGTAGGCGTGTCTGAAGCTTGGGGATTTTTTACGAACAACGAGACCAACAACCAATCACATGAATGTCCCGCCCCGGACATACAAAGCAAAGCATTCATGCTACATCGATGCTGGCTAAATATACTGTATATGCTTGCTAGCTGTCCATTCAAACGAAGTACACTGGATATAAAATCCCCAAACAGGCGAAAACCTACCAGTTTCACCCACTGTCTCTGCCACCTCCCCCCATGCCTGGCTCATCCGGTTTGTATCCCTGTATGTAAAGAGGGACTGGTCATATAGTACCGCCACGATCTTTTTCTCCTCCATTTTTTGACATATGGGAAATAACTGCGGTCTGGCTCTCCCAACATACACGCGGTTTGATTGGCTAGCGCTTGGAATGTCAGATTTGCATACGCGGGATTTGATTGGCTGACGCCTCCGTCGAGGCGGCAAAAGTAGAACATTGCTCTACTTTTGCAGCGAGCACCGCGAGAGAAGCTACGCTTTGCTCCCACAATGCAGTTCGGCGAATCGTGACGTCACCCCATTCAAAGTGAATGGGCAGAAGCGTTGAAGCGGCAACGCACGCCGCCGTGTGTAGGGGCCGTAAGAGTTAGACCTAACACACTTAGCTATTTTATCTACCTCTGGAACAAGCTAAACTAGTTATGAACGTTAGTTTTCACTGAAATGATCAAATAAAGTCAACATCTCACAGTCTTTACTGAGCTGTGTGGGGTTTGTTCAACTTTTAAAAGATGTTTGAATGGTGATATACACAGTGATAGATGTTAAGGACGTTAATAATAAATACATTTGTATTTATTTTAAGATCTTTTCATAGTTCATACAATCATACGTATTGGGATCATTTGTATTAATGTGGACCGGAGGGAGAGGGTGACGAGCATAAGTTTCACTTTCCTTTTTTATTTCAATTCCAACTTTGGTCATGAAGAATATGTTTCTCTGTTGTCCACGTTCATAAAGCATAAAACAACAGCATCAGAGCACGGTGCAGAGTCTCTAGATGAGTTTACAGTAGTCCCTCGTTCTTATTAAACATCCATGTTGTAGTCCGCTGTATAGAAAACTGTAGTTTCCCCACAGCAGCAGACGCACATTTATGACGTCCGCTGGCGCATCATAAACACGTCGGATAGTGAAAGTGCAGTCGGATTCTTTTCTCCTAAGTCCTTTTGAATTCTCCTATCCACTATTCCTTAACCCCGTGACGTTTCACTCAGAGGTCAAGGAATAGTCGATAGGGTTAGACGTTAGGAGCTGATTTTTGGATTATCCGACCGCAACCGTGGACTTGTTTAAACTTGACTGCGGAAAAGATGAAAAGTAGTACATTTTCTGACTCATACATTTGTTTCAAAAGATCTTCTTCCGTCTCTGGATAAACCCAGAGACGGAAGAAGATCTTTTGAAACAAATGTATGAGTCAGAAAATGTACTACTTTTCATCTGGACCACATCAGACCAGGCCTCGGTCAATAATAGCTTCATGTAAGCTATTTAAAACTAATCAAATATAACAAAGGTCCACAACTCCAAACTAAATCAAAAGCTTCTTTATGAAGTCCGGTTTTGACAAATGTAAATCAAGATTATTAATAGATCTATATATGGTTGTCTGGATGAAGAACAGCAGTAAATGGCTGTATTAGCTTTCATGAATAAACTAAAAGGTCTCAAAACTCTGAAAGTATGTTGAGACTTTAGCTATGACGCCTAGGACAAAAAAAGGCAAAAAACACAGAAAGTTTAAAGCATTTAACATTAAGTTACTGGAAACTACCTTCAGCCTCGTCCTGCTGCTGCCTCTCTGTGTTTACACTTCATACAGACACCAGTTTACACCCAACGCTGTGGCAGCAGCGGTTCAACCTCAGCACAAACCTCCATCATAGGCTACACACACTGCCTTCTCCCAATTACACACTCAAAAAAAGTACTGGTTGTGTTCGCAAATTTGAAGTAACGTGATATTGCTATGAGACAACGTTTATTGCACTACCGGGCGAACAGTTCCTGTTAACGTGTGACGTACCTTGCTGGTAAACACACGTCTGTAGGCTAATAAGTGACACAACTCCCCACTACATCTGGTAACTCTTTACACTAACCTCACACTTGGAAGGAAAACAATATGACACGGTATGCCGCTGTGCAAAACTCTCAACTGGAAAGTGAAGAGTTTCAAAAAGTGTCCCGCTGATAATTAAAATAACACTTTTCCAACATGACAGCCTGTTTCAGACGAGTTTTAAACAATAAAGCTAGCTTAACTGTGCAATTAAAAGTCCTACTTTAATGTAGACTCTAAAGTGGCGGAGTAACACTGTTGCACAACTCGGAAAGGCGACCGTATTTTAAGTTCACTGCAAATTACTAATAGTAAACGACAATGGCGGTATTGTGCAACACTTTCACTTTCCTCCTGCTAACTATAAATCACGATAAAAGCAGAAAAAAGTAAAGTGTAGCAGGATAACAGAACTCAGTCAGACTACGAGGAGGGAAAGCGCGAGACGTTCAACATATAAACACACTTTCTGGTTCTCTCTTAACTTAAAGCTAAAGACACGACTGTAAAGGCTAGTTGTTTGCAAAGACAGAAAAGAAACACTACCTGAATTGAGCACCCTTTGGCGCAAATGGCTGGTTTTCTCCCGGTATCCAAGAGCATCCACAGAGCAGGGTTTTAGGACCCGTCGGGCGGTCGGTACTGTAGAAATCATTGAGCCAGCGGCTCCGCCATACTGAATTAATCACGTGTCCTACACGTCCTACAGCCTCCTGTAGTTCCGTAGGGGGCGGGGCCTGCAGGACAGGATGACTGACAGCTGGAAGCATGTCTGTGAGTTGAGGCTACATGAATAAAGGCTACTGACTGTCTTTTTCCTAGAAAGCATTAGGTCACTTTGTGGCGTTACATTTCATTTTGCTCTTCCTGAGGGTCAACGGATGGTTCATGGTTTGAGTCCCAGTCACTTCTTGGGGACTGTCAAGATGTCTATGAGCAAGGCACCCTTATTGTGTCAGGGCGTTGAAAGAGCAGCAGAGTTGTGCAAGTGTGTATTTCAAGTCTAATGTGTAAAGCTCCGGTTTGCATGTTTGTACTGTATACTAATAAAGTGAAACCAGACATTTCCAATGTGGGATTAAGAAGTATGTACTATTCTTCTGTCTTCTGACACCTTGGTTCAATCTTGAGTATTTCTCCAAGACATTTAATAATCATGACTAAATAAGCATATCACAGTTAAAGTTCATAAAAACACATACTTACCTATTATTTATTAAATCTTCAGAAGCATACAAATATTAATAGGATCTCAATTACAAACAGCTAAAGAAATATTCACATAAGATATAATGGAGTCTTTTAAAAGATTTATCATGGACTTTATTGATGAAATATCTATGGTATTGTCAACAAATGGCTGGGAACATGGATGCAAAGCCTCCATTGCTGATATAACATCTAAATGAAATTCAGCGTTAGTAAAATAGAATAATTTCCCATTCTGCTTACATTGCATGAATGCAATACAAGCCAACAACTCAGTGAGAAAAACGTAGACAAGAACACAGAAATCTCTCATGTTAAATAACCAAAACTGTTGCAACCCTCTGGCTTCAGTCAGTCATACCTCCTTTTGTTACACTTGATGATTTCCAGGCAAGCTTTTTTAAGACTGACTTTCCACACCAGCAGAGAACATGTATCAACTTGTTGTGTTTATAGCCGTTGATTCAATACTTAGGTGGAGGGACATAATCCAACAAAAGATTTTCCAGATGAGAAAAGTTTTTTTCGAAATGAAGCACAACGTGTCACTTACAGTGGTTTTGCGCCAGGAAATAACAATAGGCCTATGATTCCTGGAAAAGGCCCTTCCTCTTAAACCGGATTTATCTAAGATTGCTGAAAGATGTCATAATAACATTTCTACAAGAATCTTCCAAAATTATGTTTTTCTTGTTGACCAAAATGCACTTTGAAATGCAAGATTTATTACCACTAGCTACTAATAAACAGCTTAATCTGTCTTCTTTCACTGAAGCATTAGTTGGTGCATGGTGATTTTGATCACCTTTACTTTTGGTGTTAGCTTCAACACATTTCCTGTGAGTACAAAAACACAAAACAATTAGGCTTCAGGTGTAAGACTTTCATCACCGTCATTTACATGAAAATTGTTAATGCAAACATTTTAAAGTCTTTAAATTCCTTCATACCTAGAAGAGTAAATGCACATACCTCCGTATATTTTGTCACACTTCTGTTCAATGCTATCTATTTTACAATTGCAGAGCTCTACCACTTTAAGTTCAGATACACTGCATTTATTTTGTTCACAGAGTAAATATCCGAGTTGTTGTTGTTGTCTATGTTGCAAAGACAACCATACATTTGATGGTTTTGCCTCATAGCTTTTAGAGCCTACTAATGACAAATGTAGCAACTTAATCGGACAATCAGGGGAAACAGTAAGAAAGTGCTATACTACATGTATATTCAAATAAGTTCCCAACACTGGGCACACTGCATTTTGTTGTCCAAGGTTTGCCGGATATTGAGCCTTCATGTCCAAGGAGATCATGACTGTTGGCTGACAGAATTGCAAATACAGTGAGTGAGGCTTGTAAATAGTTCATCAATACACACTCTAAAAACAAATGCCTTGGCTCAACAAAGAAAATCAACGCAACAGTTTGCATCAATGTTTATTGAGTTAAGACAACTTCTAATGAAATTGTCTTAAAGCAACAATGTTATTTGAGTTAGGGGAGAAGGCTTTTCTTCTACAATCAGAGGTGTTTTTAATTACCACTTACTTAATAATTGGTAGCATAAACACAAGTTTTGAAGTTGATTACTCAAAAGATTAAGTTGTTCCGACTAGTTTTACCACATGATTTAAAAGGAATTTTAAGTTGTATGTACTTAATTACCCTCATTCGGGATACAAGTTTTTAAGTTGATTACTCCAAAAATTAAGTTGTTCCAACTTGTTTTACCGTATGATTTAAAAGGAATTTTAAGTGGTATGTACTTAATTACCATCATTGTGAACACACGTTTTTAAGTTGACAACTATTTATAAATAAAGTTGCTCCAAATACATTATATTCAATAGTTTTTTCTTAGCTTTTTTCATGTTTTGCCTTTAAATAAAGAAATGAATTGATTCCAGAACAAAAATATTAGGCAATTGAATTAACTTTTTATTTTGAACTGCAGTTGTTTATTTCAACACATGATGTTTCAATCAGGAGAGACTTCATTTAGTTTGAACATTTATTGACACATGCCATATGATAAGGTGCATGAACACCTGAAACAGGGCCGTTTCTTCCTATATGCGGACTATGCGGGGGCATAGGGCCCCCGCGGCCACTAGGGGGCCCCCAAGCTGAAAGTATATATTTTTTTTTATTCATCCAAAAAACAAAAAAAGTTTAATTCATACACACAAAGATGAACAAAATTAGTAGAAGCGGGAGGGCTGAAGCATAGCTTGTGGAAAGTAGCCCTCCCGTGCATCATCCTAATACAGCGGCATTATTCCATCAAAAACGTATAGAAATGAAGGAGTACAAAGAAATAAAGAAAACAGGAGAAAAAATTAAATAAAAGTTAGGGCAGGAAAACAATAAATGCATATATATTTTATATATATATATATATATATATATATATATATATATATATGAAAACTAGATATAGGGTCATTTTCTGCACATGTCAATAGCAGTTTCAACTATCTTTTTTGGAAATTAAAATACTATATATAAATATATACATAGGTACTTGGCAAATGAATAATAATAATAATAATATATGCATAATTGCATATAAACCATTGTGAACACTTATTTTCAAGTGACTTTTTTACATTCATATGTTCACGCTGTGGTTTGGAACTGCTTTTGAATATTATTAGGCATTTTGTTATGGAAAATGTTGTGCATAATCAGTACTGTTTTAAGCTGTACTATGTCAACATATATGGGAGTTGTGTGTTCATATTTATCAACACCACAGGCTATTCGTAATACTTTTTTTTGGGATGTTATTATTTTTTGTAGATTTGTTGAGTACGTGTTTCCCCATATTTTGGAGCAGTAGTAAAGGTAAGGGAGAAATAGACTGTTATAAAGAGTATATTTTCTTCAAGAATGTTCTTAGTATGATACAAATACCTATTGTTTTTGACAGTTTAGTCTGTACATAATTGATTATGGTGCTTCCAATTGAGTTTTTCGTCAACAAGCAGTCCTAAAAATGTACATGCACCAAATGTGTATATCTCTGTATTGCAAATCTGTATAATGCAGTCATTTCTACTCTCAGACTTTGTATTGAATAATGTAATTTGGTTTGGCCACATTAAGGGATAATTTATTAACTGCAAACCAGTTACATAGTATTTTTTATTCTGCATTCACAATTTTAACAAGATCGCCAAGATTATGATGGGAGCAGAGAATTCAAAGTTCAGGTTGAGCCTCAATATATTTGGGAAGAATTAAAATGAGCCGTCTTTATTTGTAGACAGCCAAGCCCCCTCCTGTGTTCGCAGTGGCGTTTTTATATGTACAAAAGTGGAATTACATACATCAGAATAACAAATACTACATAATAGCATAACTCAAATGTAATATGAGGTTCAGGTTATTCATTTGTACCCAAAGGTAGATTTGGTTTGCAGGTAAAAGACAAGGGATCCATTATGACACATTCAAAACAGACAACGGATAACAGACAAATCTCCAAAAAATGCAACCTAAAAACATTTTAAAACATTAATACAAACAGGAGCAATCCAGACATTTAATAAGTAAATAGGCATTGCTACCATAGCATCTGATGCTACATTGTTAATATGGCTCCAACAATACTAATAAGCAGTGGCGTTTTTATATGTACAAACGTGGTGGGGCACAAAAAACGTAGATGTCTATATATAAGCTTCTGCAGTGAGGTTCATGGCTGGTGAGGCACTGGCACTGACTCTTCAGGTTTACAAATATTATATTTTGACCTAAATCAAAATATAATATTATTTTCAAAAGCTTTTTTTGTCTGATGCTTCGATTAATTTTAAACAGACAGTTCAACAAAAGGATACCCAAAAAATGTAATTTTATCATTTAAATATTGAATTGTTCTCTCTTAGTAAGATCCCATTTTCAATAAAATTGCGGTCTTACCTTGACTTGAAGATGAAGTCCATTTGCCTATCCTTCTGGACAAAATCTCTATTACTTTTTGTAAAAGTCCTCCTTATGTTCTTGTAGTTTCAAAAGTCTATCATAAATCTAATCAATAGATTTATGATTAGAAAAATTATAAAAGTAGGGTAGACATGTGGATATTATCCCGCTGAACAAAACGTGCATTTATCTAACAGGTTTGTTTCCCACAGATCTTTTTTTTAGCTATTTTCTAAAATCCCATGGAGAAATCTCATTGCTTTTTTGTGGAGGCAAGCCATGCGCAGCTTACTTCCTGGTTTTAGAACGCGTCTCTCTCCTCCTCTTCACACACCACACTTTTCGCGGCACACATACTTACAGCCAATCAGCTCTGAATGATGTGAGATGACGTATGGTGGGGATGGCAGCTCAGTGCCCCTATGGTCATTATTTTGTTGCCACGCACATTACATAGGACAATACTCTGAGCATGCGCAGTGTAGTTTTTATAGTCACCGTTCACTTAGACAGTGAGAGGGAGGGGTATGAT